CATAAAGCGCGGTGGCTTTTATTACCATCGCAGTTTGATTGGGTCGTTAAGACAAGACGGCAGAGAAGTACTACAGCTATAGAATTTTAAAAATTTTCACGGACAAGTCATGCGCTGAAACAAGAAAAGTAAACACATCTTAAATGTGTTTATAGACGAAGGAATGGAACTTAAATTCACGTGAGAGATACATTGCGCTAATAATTTGCAGTTTCTTATAAGATGCTTAAGTGTCTGTGGAGCATGTTTACTGGCAGTATATTTCGCATTCAAAATGTGAACACTACTGAATTTCGCGTTAGCGCATTCAAATGTTGCTCAGTGACGAATAAAAATATCGTACTTGCGCACGGAAAAGAAAAAAAATGGACTTGGGCACATTACGTGAGCAGTAGTTTGCAGCTGCAAGAAGGTGTGGTGTCGTGCCTATATACTATTGCATAGGTTTGCGAACAGCTCATTTGCATCGCAAAAAAAAAAGGTCAATTCGGACTATGTTCAGCCGCGAAGAAACTAGGAATGTTGCAGTTAATTCATGCATGCGTTTTGCACAGTCTGAAAGGAAGTCGGGAAGCGATTTGAGGTGAAGGTAGTGTTTTCTGCACCGTATGTTTAGTAACATTTCTTCTGTAGAGCGCAAAAAGTCGCTGGGGTCTGCAGTGCGTGGGCAGAGAAAAGTGCTATGAGAGGCATGCGAATTGTTCTTTCAATGTTGTGCAAGAGTTGCTAATCGAATTCATCTTGTGTTAACATATACAGATCGGTCAGACTAGTTGATGTATCAACACGTGCACAGATCATCAAAATTTATTGAATGAAGCCATCTCGCCTTGAATTTTCAGTAATTCAAATGCAATTTCATCTTTGAAGGCCTGCTAGTCTTGCACAGTCACCCTAACCAGACCACGTGAAAAATCTGATACATATCATGAAAAACACCGCAACTTGTTTAAGGGGGCAGACTGGTCTTGGGGACCAAAAAGGGACAAAAAATTCATTTTTTAAAATTGACATATGTGGTTTTTTGAAGTATTTTTCTATGTCTCTGCAAATTTTCACACAACAGGAAGTGGTAATTTTTTTGTAATGTTATTCTACCTGTCCAGATTCTTGGTGCTGTTAACATGCAGAACCTGCAGAAAAAAAAAAAAAATGTGGAACAGACTTCAAGGCTTCTTTATAATTTGCCGGGACTTTTGTTAGCCCTTCTATGAATTTATGAGCATTGCAAAACATGCGCACTATGATTGTTGCTTTTTGAAGAAGCTGTGCGTTTTCAGTTTTTTCATTTTTCTCAAAAAAGTAAATTTACGACTTCAATTTTGAGGCCTCAATATCTCTACAGCTAGGGCAGGTACAACAATCATTCTTTTTGCAATGGAAACCTGTATGTGTATAGAATGCAAGTATGGGAGCAGAATTTAGACCACAAGCCTTTTCAATTAAATACTCATCGAAGTTTAACACAACTACAACTGCTTTTATTTATTTATTTATTTATTTATTTATTCATACTGTTAGCATACATGCCGAAACAGGAGTTGCTCGTCTGGGCACACAAATTTCAAATGTCAATGCAAAAATAGAACATCCCACAATTTGGCACAAAGACAGCTAAAGCAATGCAAAAAAATAAATAAAAAAATCTAATATTCAATGCGCACACTGCAGCATAACTCGGCAGAACACAGGTGAGCAAGTGAGTGCCTTATCACAGCTCAGTTCAACATTTCAAACGCACATTCAAAATCTTTAACATTGTTACACAGTACGTCATTCCATAACTTATTCCATGTGTCAATAGCGGATACAATAAAAGAATTCTTTAACGATTTTGTGTTATGCTTCAGAGGTTTAATGTGTTTGGTGTGCTTTGTCCGCGAATGCGACGTGTCTAGAGTGAAAATTTTTGTTATCTCTGTTTTGTAGATACCGTGGAATATCTGAAAAAAGAATTTCATGCTGTTGATATTCATTCTCTCGTGCATTGTAAGAATATGAGCCCTAGTTTTTAGACTTGTTACGGACTGTGTTCTACGATAGGAATTAAAAATAAATCTTAAGGCTCTATTTTGAACCTGTTCACATTTAGCGATATTATTGTGCGTATATGGCTTCCATATTGGGCATGCATATTCCAGCAACGGAAGTACTGTGGTTTTATATGCTATAAGTTTTACTTCAGGTGTCGCGTCACCAAGCCTCCGACGAAGCATCCAAAGCTTTTTTTGCGGTTTATCACAGATATAATCTCTATGGCGATTCCAGTTCAAGCTATCTGTGACGTAAACACCCAGGTATTTATATTCTGACACACGGCAGAGTGGTTTGTTATGCATGACGTAACGAAATAAGAGAGGCTTGGTTTTTCTTGTAATCGGCATAAAAACTGTTTTGCTTGTGTTCAACTCCATTTGCCATTTTTTGCACCAAGAGCCTATCATGCCCAGATGTTCATTAAGCTTTTCCTGGTCATAGTTCGATTCTGCCTTTGAAAAGATGACTGTGTCATCAGCATAGTGCTTAATGAAAACATCGGGCGAGAAGCCGCTGTTCATATCATTAATATATAGTAAGAACAGCAGTGGCCCTATGACAGAGCCCTGTGGAACTCCTGAACCTACCGACTGGCTCGTGCTTTTTGTGCCCCTAATGCAAACCACTTGCTCTCTGTTTATCAAATAAGCCGCTATCCAATTTATGAGCTCATCATTCTGCAGGATCGTGCCAAGTCTTGCCATTCTTCTCGTAAATCTTGAGGCAATTGTCCCCGTTAATTCCGCGGTTCCAGATCTCCTGAAACAATATTCGTACAGACACCGTGTACGGTGCGAAGAATCCCATCGGGTTGAACACTCTTGATCCTGCTTGTAGGACAAACCTTTTTGTGTCTGCTTTTGCTTTCAGAAAAGCAAGATTGGCCATTGAGAAGCTGAAGCATCACTCTGGGGACTTCACAAAGCTTCAGTTAAAGTAATGGTCATTGCGTGAAGTACAATTATGTTTTGGCTGGTTGATCGGTCTTGGCCTTCCAACAGGTTTATAAGCTCCGAGGAGTTTGTCGTCCATTTGCGGAAATTCATACCCCCTAAGAGCATCAGCTGTTGTGCCTCTTTTAAAAAACTCAGCGGCTTCGTCGTCCATATCGGCTTTTGTCACTAAGTCGACGTAGAACGATTCGCTCAAGGTGTTGGCAGTGGCGGCCATGCTTAGTGGCACTCTTCTAAGGGGTGAAGAATGGTTGCTGTCAGCAGAAATGGGCTGCATTTTGCTCTGAAAGGTACTCCGGCCATTCTCCATTTTTGCAGTTGCTTCTGTGGAAACTCTGCAGCATTGCCTTCTTCGAAGCAGAAAAATCGAAAGTCATCTCTGTCCTCTTCTTTTATCGAAATCTGCATATAAGCCTTCTCAGTTATGGCAATGGGGTGCATTCTGAAGCGCAATAATATTCTTATGAGGTTTTCTTGGTACAAGTTGTCACCTTTCTCTCATTGAGTGACTTGCATTTTTGATGACACGTCCAAGACTCGCACCTTTGTAGTCAAAGCCTGTTCTCGAATAAATTCTTTGTGTGGCACGTAGTACACTTTTGCTGGATTTTTAGGCGCTTTCTTCTGCATGTCTGGCTAGCAGATAGTCGCGTATCGTGGCGTATCAGTCTGGTAGTGGGGACCTCCTTGTTGTCACATAGCTCAAACCCTGTTTTCCAGAGCAACAACACTTCGTATCTGCCTCCCCGCAGCGCTATTCTTATCTCAATTTGTTGCATGATCGAGCTCATGTTGATCTCTTTGTTTCTGGGATCAGATATGCCGATACTCTCCAGTTCGCAAAATTACAGGGTTAGTTTTTCATTAACCTCTACTTGAGTCTTCAACACGCATGCCATGACTCGGGAGTCAACTGCCTTTGACGACGAGTGTTCTGTGCTCCCTTAGAATGAATGTTCGTCTGAACTTTTGAGTTCGTGGCAATGAGTTTTTTCTCGCTTTCCGGTCTGTGCGTTTCACATGTCATCACCGTCCACATCTGGTCTGAGCCAATAAGCAAACTCATTCAGTTTTCCTTCTCAACGGATGAGTGAAGCAGCCCGTTGGCTATGTCGTGTCAGTTTTTTTTTGTTTTTATGACGATGATGACTTCTGTGGTAAAGCCCACTGCAATAGCTTTGATTCTGCTATCGTAAAAAAAGCGTTATGCTCACTGCAGACAAGTTACTTGTGTAAAAACAATGTACCACTAATAATGTTCTACGTGGCAGCAGTGAAAAAAAAATTGCAGCGTAAAGCTGCAGTTGACGTAAGGGGGCACGGCGCTAGGTGGCCTGGACAAGCAGTTCAGCACATTATTGTGTGCTCCGTACACTTTTGTGGTGAACTGCGCATGGCACTGAAAATGTTTACATTATTTTAACAAAGTGCTTGATTGGGCTGGTTGGTGCTGCATGGTAGACGAAGAAAGTGCTTAACAGTGCAAAGGACAGGAGGGGATAGAAGAGACAAGAACAGAGCGCGGAACTCACGAAAGTTTATTATATGCAAACCAACTGCAATATATATGAAAACCAAATCTGTGCATAACCACGCAACATCAGCAAAATCAGACACATGTGCCAAGCTGCCTACCTTATCAAGAGCCAGTAATATCAGTGGACACTAGATAATTCATTTCACAGCCGTAAAGAAAAATTGAAGGTACACTAACACAGGAAGCACCAAATTGTAGAATGTGGAAGGCTTCTCTAATCTCGCTGTTCGTTTGTTGAGCTGGGATCTACTGCAGTGATACCATGCTGGGTAAGCTACAACATTCACACTGCGGCAAAACAATAGTCACTTATGTTTAGGCTTGGGTGCACCAACTTAAGTTGGTATGGAAAAAAAAGTTTACCTAGTGGAGCAGAATACCGTTGTGACCAAGTGTAGAAAAAGTTTTGTTAGTGTGCACTTAGTTTGAAAGCCTGGTTTGTTGCTAAGACGATGCAAAATTTCTTTTTGCAGAACAAGTTCGAAAGCATTCTCTTTGAAATTCAGTACACCCGCAATGAGATCAAGGGGACGCTAATGGAGTTGGAGAAGTGGGTCAAGCCTGAAAAGGTGAGTGCAGTTTCATGATTTTTATTTTTCCCTAATACATTTAGTAGCTCATGAGTTGTGTTTGGGAAACTTAGTTGAAAGTGCACTGTAAACTTCAGATGGAAATGTATGCCCGTAATTTATTGAATACTTTAGAATTTATTAGTACTATGGTTGCACTGGAGGATACTATTATAATGCGAAATTATCTCACGAAGTGCACCACCTGTTTCTGGATCGGGACTTCCCCTTCTGCTATGGTGATTCTTCTCCTGTGCTGTGCACAGGCTGTTTGCAAGTTTCCGTGGCTTCAAGACATGGCTTTTGCGGACACCAGCCTAGCTGAGGAATTTTTTCACACAGACTTGCCATGGTGCCAGACAGCTGATTTGAAGGCCACGTGATGACAGTCTGGTCGTTGCGACTGGTTTCATTCAGTGTGCTGGATTCAGGGTCAAAAACACCAGGTTGTCGGAGCTCTTCATTGCAGTGTCCATTATAATAGTGTGCTCTTGAGATGTCAAAGCCCGACCATTATAAATACGGTACACTTTCGGTTAATTCAAACAAAGTTCAATTTCTTGGTTGGCCCTTTCAATGCATTTGGAAGCCTCTTAATTCAAACTTTTATCGTCCTGTTAATTCATACTTTATTGCGGTTGCATACAGAAAAATATCTGCTGCTTTTCCACTTCTATTTAAAAATTTGCTTGCTTACATAATCCTAACAAATGTCACTAAGTGCCTTAAGCCTTCGAGGAAAAAGGCTTTGCTAGTAAACAAATGTCTTAAATGAACCACACGCATGGTAAACCATGATGCTTTTCAACTGGTATAGAGAGCTTCAAGCTGAAGTCACATATACCAAAAAAGCAGTTCGCAATTCAGGATTTCTTTACAAGGTCTCATCAGCAGCAACGACCCGATAAACTTGTGGACTTTACACCTATGCATTTTGTTCATTGGGGGCAGTTATGGTTTAAAAATGCCTAAAAATTTTTTTAATGTGATAAAATGAATGCCTACTCATAATATTAGCCCAGATTCATGTATCCGAGAACTTTTTATAATTCAAACTTCTTCATAGTTTGAACAATATTCAGTGGTTCCCTTGAGTTTCAATTAACAATAGTTCAGTGTACTTTTGTCTTAAGAATGAGTTTACATGAAATGCAGATCACTGGGTAAAAAATTTCTATAGCAAAGATGATCAAACTTTTTAAAAAGTAATTGGTCAATGCTGTATTTTTTTTTTATATTTTTCATGTCTACAGACACAACAGTCTACTCTAGGTAACTCAAACTTTAATGGACCCCTGTTTGAATTATTAGAACTTCTCATAGAACTTTGGGCTAGGTGACACTGCACATTATCTTTACGTATTAATTTTAATCACATTTGTAAACTTCTAAGTGTTTTAAATCTCTCACTGCTGAGTATTAGTAGAGGCATAAATTCCACTACTTTTTAGGCCATTTACTGCTGACCAGACCTCTCTATGCCAGTAAGTGCAGCTGGTTCATGCCCATAGTTCTCTGTTGCTGTCACAAGTTTTCGAACTTGAGCCATCTTAAGCCAAAGGAGAACAGCTTTTTCAAGATTTGGGCACGGCACTTCCCTAAGCCTTTTTTGATCGGGAGCGAGGTGGCTTGCATTGTTCTACAGCTTGTCTTTAGCTTTCAGAATGGTTCCCAGAGTACTCTAGATGATTACTTATTTCGGGTTGCACTTCAGTCTTCGTCACTCCAACGTCAAGTTCTCGAATAGCAGCCAAGTTTTTTTCAGGAGTAGTGTCAGATTCACTTTCGTTTCTGCTATGATGTTTTGTGCTTGAGGACTTTTTTTCTTACTGTTACAGTTATAAAAGCACACAAATTTTCAGATAGTTGTGGGAAAGCAGCAGATACTTTCTCGTACAGACATGCAAAATGTACGAATTAACAGAATGATAGTTTGAATTAAGCACACTTTAAAAATATATTCAAAAAATAGCAGGCCCACTGAAAATTTCAATTTTGTTTGAATTGAATGAAAGTATGAATTATTAGCTTGCATGATTTCAAGCCAACTATAATAATCAAAGGTGTATAATTGCCGAGGTTCTACGTCTCAAAACCATGATGTGATTATAAGGGACGTCGTGGTGGAGACTTCTGAAAATTTTCATTCAATCACCAGGGGTCTTTCAAAGGCCAACTCCAGTGATTTTTTGACTCTGTGAAAGTAATGGTGGTTCTTTGTTCCTCAGACATTCCTGCCACAGACCTGATAGAGATGTACTCTGCGAATTCCAAAATAATTTTCAGAAGCATGAAAGCGCAACACCAAAACTTAGTCGAGCAAAACTATCTTTGCATGACTCAAAATTGAACAAACACCGGAAATCGTGCGAGGAATGTCAGTCCTGCCAGTGCAGAGTATGAAAACTGCGAAAGCCATGAAGAGCAGATGCTCAGCACATAGTTGACCACACTGACTACGCCGAACCATGTCTGCAACAGACCGTGCCACGTGCACAAGCTGCTCCAAATTGTAGGACAATGACAGCTGCGATTCAAACATATTTGAAAGTCAACGAGCATCGCTGTTCCTCTTCATTGAAACCAAACATATTTTTGAATGTGCTTGCCTGGTTGCAGATAACACAGCCATGTGACACTACTTGTCCGGGCCATCCAAGTTTGTGACTGCGGCGTTTTGCCAAAATGTTAGCAATAAGAAGTATGCTATCAAGCCAAGACACGTTAGTGTTGTCGTGGAAAGAAGGCATAAGTTTGTGGAGTGCTGCATTACACTGGCAAGATTGATATCGTCCAAGTATGCAGGGGCAGCGCCAGGGGGGGTAAGGGTGGGCTGGAGCCCCCCCAAAATTCTTGCCTGCCCCCCCTATGCCCACCCAAGTGCCCGGAAGCATATATTGTAAACCTAGTAGGAGCAGAGCTAGCTTGCCCCCCCCCCCCCCCCCCCCCCCCCGAAGGAACTCACTTTTCGTGGTTGCCCCCCCAGTAAAAACATCCTGGCGCCGCCCCTGCAAGTATGTACTCTTCTCATGGTGCGCAGCTTACTGTATACAGCAGTCACAGTTGATGTTGGTCAAGGTGAACTTGGTATTCGTTATAGGAAGTGTTTCAGTGCATTAAAGTTTGCACGTGTGCACTGTTCAGCAGCAACGATATCATCGTACTTTTACAATGAGGCGGGGGTGCCAATCTTTCTGAACTATTTTGAGGTGCTACACAGCGGGGTCATTACGATTATGAGATGAGGAGATAACTCGGTTCTTTCCACAGTATGCTCCGTCAATTGCAATGTGTGGCTTCTGATGGATTTGATTTTCGTTGTGGTTAGTAGAACGGCAAATGGTGATTGCAGCAAACTGCGATTACAGGCAACTTTTTCATGCACTGCAGATAGTCTGGGTGCCGCCCAACGTTGGGAAAGAAATTGCAAAATCAAAGAATAAAGCTACACGCAAAATTTGGTTTCACATATCGGACCAACAAAGGGCTCGCACTACCATCGAGACGAAGTGAAATCATTAGGTGCGAGTGTGTAGTGGCTTTTATATACATGCTGTGTCATGTGCGGCCCACAACATACTAATGCCACCCATCGCACGCCCAGTACACCAAGCAAGCCACATGGAAAAAGCAATTGTTCGCACAACCAAGAAAACGCGCACCAGACAAGCAGACGCTGCAGTGTTGCCATTGATGTCAGCTTGCAATATGTTGCGCAGCTGCTAATCGCTCTTGTGGACAACTTTATGAGGTGGTCTTTTTCAACTTTGTGGTTACTATCAAATTTGTCTGTTGCAACACTGACGGTATGCACCGGCGACACAAAACGCAGTGCACATGTTTGTTTTCCCTTTGACAGAATAAGGGCAGAAATATATTGTAAGAGCAGGAACAAACATACTTTCGAGTGTTGTGGAAAGTAGCACTTGTCCCATGTGTAAGCGCTCTTTTCTGTCCTTGTTTTTTTCGCTTCCGTAGTTACGAAGTAACTACTCCTAGGTTGCGCTGTTCCTGCATTCAGTTATGTCCTACCAACTTGCCCAAGTTTCCACGCTTCATAAGCCCTTCCTTTGTGCTCTTCAACTAAATAATATGGTCTATATCATCCACCCATTCAAAAGTGATCATTGAGTTCTACCAGTGTTGCGCAATTCAATGTCTAATACATTGTACCGGCAAAAGTCATTTTTCAATCCTAGGAGTTGGTTTTTTGTGTTTTTGTCCTCGCATATACTGATTGCAAGAAAGAGCCAAGTCAATTCAAACCAGAAACAGCCGAGCCAGCATCCTCTGTGTTGCAGGCACCCAAGAATATGATGCTCATCATGGACCAGGCACTGATACACAGTGAGCCGTACGGAGTTGCCCTGGTCATTGGTGCCTGGAACTACCCGCTGCAGCTGACGCTGTGCCCCCTCATTGGGGCCATTGCAGCCGGCAACTGTGCTGTCGTCAAGCCGTCCGAGCAGGCACCGGCCACGGCCAAGCTTCTCCAGGAAATGGTGCCCAAGTACCTGGATCCAGAGTGCTTTGCCGTCATTGTCGGAGGACCCAAGGAGTCGGCCGAGCTTCTGAACGAGAAGTTTGACTACATCTTCTACACAGGCTCAACTCACGTGGGCAAGCTAATCTACGCTGCCGCCCAGAGGCACCTCACACCAGTCACCCTCGAATTGGGTGGCAAAAGGTGAGCACCTCGCCTTCACACAAGACATATCTCCAATTCTGTTAGTCCCCAATGTCTGAAACTCTCTACATTTTTCCCGTGTCCAACGTATAGCATCATTTACTAAGGGGCCTGCTCACGAATGTCGACTCTATGAGAAAAGGCAGAGCATTTTGCTTCACGGCAAGGCTGCCGTTGATATTGCAAACGGGGACACGAGATGAGCGCAAACAATGGTTCATTGCATTGGTGGAAAGTGTGACCATATTCATATCACATTTGTATATTACAAAGCCACAGGCAAAGCATTAACAAGCACGTGTTGTACCAGTGAAATATGGAATTTTCTTAGCTGTGAAAGCGGTACAGTATTTACTGGAATCTAAGCAGACTCCCTAAAGTCTGAAGCCTGGGAAAAAAAACCCACTTACTTCGAATGTAGGGTAAATGGAACAGTGAAGACAGCATTCACAAACAGAAAACATTTATTGAACATGAGCTCAAAAAACAAAGCAGTTTGTTCACTCTAGAAACATGCAGCCGCTAGTCCTGTTGTGTGTTTTTTGTCATTTTTTTCGTGCTGCTTCTAGTTACTTCCATCATAAAGATGCTGTGCTTCTCCATGCCGCACTCATTCCGAGCCGTGGGTGCCTCCCTCGTCGCTGACTTCCTTGTTGCTGTCTTCAAATAGTGGGCGATCTTCGGTGCCATAAAGCGCATTGGATATGCCACACTTCTTGAAAGAGTGCACAAAGTTTTGGCGTCGTCATCCCATGCTGCAGCTTCTTCAGCGATGCACTTTTTTTTTTTTTTGTCCACTCCAAAGTTCGGCTCGACTTGAACGTTTGACGACGACTCCGCGCCTAGGGCAACTTTTTTTTTATAAGCCGCACTGTATAGGCATTACCTGTTTGACGCCATTGAGCTACGCTACACACTGACCACTAAAAGCATGACTCTAAATGACAAACGGCTTGCCTCAACACTTGCCACAAAGGTGAAAATAGTGGCTTACGTGTGTACTGAAGCCAGCAGTTGGATGCTAATGGCTATATTACTGTCTAGGTGGCGCTAGTTGTGCACGACTTTTCTCAATGAAAAATGACGCATTTTTCAAGATCTTCGAATCTAAGCGGATTCTGGAGTTTGCTGCAAAGAAATTTGAAAAAGCTATCAGCCTAGATTCAAGTAAGTACGGTAGATGGGCTGCATATGTCTTTGAGATGTGACATTTTGTGTAGGCTTGTGTGAATAGTGGATTTTAGCTTCGCAGTTTGTACTGATATGGTTCGAAATCACCGTGGTGGTCTAACTTCACTGCTAACCCCAAGTAGCGGAATCGAATCCTGGTCACGGTTGGCGCATTTCCGATGGAGGCAGTAATGTTTGAGGCCCGTGTATACTTGTATTTAGGTGCTTGTTAAAGAACCACAGCTGGTGAAAATTCTCATAGCCCTCCAATGTGGCATGTTTCATAATCTGATCGTAGGTTTGGGACATCAAACCCCAAAAATATTGTCCCGCACATTCGCACATAAGCCAGAATCCAACAGAAATACTATTGAGAATGGAGAATGAAGAAAAAGAATGAAGTGAACTATACTGCTTGTATACTAGCTGCATACTAGCACACGGCATGTTTAATAATAAATATGAATATTTATTGGATGCCTAAGTGATGTTTTAGACTTCAGGAGTCGTTTTAGGAACATACACCTGCTCTGAAAACACCTATAGCAACCCTAAGCTATAGCATTTTTTTCTACTCCGAAGACAGTTAAGCCTGCTCCATAGCACTATTTTTTCTGCTCCAGAATCTGCTCCAAAAATCAACATGTCTTTTCTATCACTGCTGCACTTATACAACTTCATTTGGCTCTAAGTGGCAACAGCTTGGAATAGTAGCAGGATTTGTCATTGATATGGTATACCGCACCATGACAAGGACACTAAAAGAGATGCACACACACACACGCACACACACACACATGCACACACACACTTCTTGTCCTTGTCCTGGTGACCCATATGAATGATGAACCCCAACCAACTAGCCTGAGAAGCTGCCTTAGCAGGATTTGACTTTCAGGTAAAAAATGCAAGTGGGTAACCTGTAAAATGCAGTGATCCCACCCGTGCCCCAACTGTGCCAAAGTGGGCCAAATCAGATTTACTGCGCCATCCTGATAATATAAACGAAAATTGCGCCAAACAACGCCAAAGTCGGATTTGGGAGCGTCTATCACCGGCAATAGCCACGCCAGCACTTCAAAACAGTGCATCTTGTTCTCGGGGCCACCAAAGTTACTATTGTGTGCCTATAATTATTCCGCTGAATTAACAGCAGTCCCGCATGCATTCTAAGTAATCCACGATGCTATGCTTAGTGCCGACGCAACTTCTGCTGTGCAAGTCTGCTGAATGGTGAAGCACGCTCTCCACAGAAGCTCGTGACATCTAATCAGTGCGTGAAATTGAGGCAGTTATTCGTCGCTGGACGCCCTGATATTGTGGTCTAATTTCCCGCGCTTCACGTCCACACAACACGGGCACAGTTAAAACGTGTTGACACTTTTCCTTTAATATACCTTATTTGTGGAATTTCATTTAGTTCATTTTTGGAATTTCTTCCACCAGCACATCCGCACTTCTAATCTCTGTCACAGAGCTCCCAAAACATCCTGCCATTTCTAACTCGAGATCGCTAGGGTAAGTACTCAGTTTTCGCATGCTTTTTAACTGTCTTATTAAAAGCATACTTCCTGGTCAGAGCAACCGGAATTCAGTACAGTTGAGCCCACATATAATGGCCCCACTTAAAACAAACTTTTGCTTAAAACGAACAATATCCGCGTGACCGTGAAACTATACATTAGTTCAATGGCACAAAATCGCACTTACAACGAACGTCTCAGAGTGCCGCTGATCTGTTACAGCCAACGGAGTCAGCGGTCTGCCGACTTCCTGGGAAACCACTTTCGACCACCGATCGGGCATCAGCAAGGTGCTCATACATTCTTATTGGCGAATGCCGACCCTGCCTCCGCGACACTCTAGTTGTCGCTCTCCCCGACCCATGGAGCCTTCCTCCATGCCCCGACTGCTTTTTGTTACGCACCCCTTCGTCCTTTGTCCTCCCACTACTCTGAGCACCCCGCATCACCAGACGAGGCCTGTGTTTTCACACTGCCACCGATCTTTGGAAGACTGGTCGGCCATCTACCCCGTTTTTGATCGCTGGTACTGTCATTGGCGTCGCCGGCCGGGAGTGGCCAGACCACTTGCCAACATCATCGGCCACCGACTGTATCCGATAGTCTGCGTCTAGTGCACACGCGTACGCTACCCCACCGACTCTGATAATTTGCGATTCGTTTCGTGTTTAGGACTTGTTCTCGCTCACTTCGTACTTTGCTCGGCACGCCATCCACACGCGTGCGGAAGCACGAAAACGGGTGTTAATTTGCGCGGAACGAATCGCAAAACATCGAAGTTCATGAGGCCACCAAACCGGCCGGCGAAACAAAACGATTTTTTGACCAGGGCCGCCGATTCTTCGAACGCCGCTGCGCGCACCGAATCAGGTGGCTGTGCTTAGACTTTTGCGTGCGCTGGCACTCTTTCCAAGTTTTCTAGGTGCGAGTTTGGCGGACTTTTCAAGCAAGCTACCCAACCAGCAAGCTACCCAACCTGCCTCCTTCCCGTGTGTTTTGGTTTTCAAGGTCGCCCTCTTGCCGCACCCCCCCTTCCCCCTTTTTTATCGCACGGAGGAAAGAATCTTTCCTTCCTCTGTGCTTTATCGCAACTCCTTGCCCTTATCTCGGAAGTCTGCTCTCCTCTCTTGATCACAACCCCTTTGCCCGTCTCCACCACTCCGCGGCGACTGCCACGCTGGCTCGAATTAGTTTAGTTTTTCAACTGGAAACGGGCCCAGAGCTGTTCCATGCGTTCTGGCATGTGCGTCGCGTGTGCGCGTCTTGCTCACTCTTGGTGTGCGTGTGTGGTCATGATGGCCGTTGGGAGGATTAGCACGCTTTTTCCTGCCGCTCAACAAAATGTCGAAAGTGTGACCGCTTGGCTTGAGCGTAATCTGCGTGTTAGGTGCCGCGTTGCGGAGCGCTTCCTCATAGCTGTTAACCACCTGGCAGCAAACTTGCCGCTTCGGGCACCCCGGTATTCAGCTGTGGAGATGGTGAATATTTCGTGGGTGGCAGTGACGGCTGCATGCGCGCGAAACTGTTTTCGCGAGACCGACTTCGTTGACGTCCGGCCCGATGCAGAGTTTGAAGCTTCCGAACAGGACCACTGCGGCGGCGATTTGTGGCAGCGCGTCGTCGACTCCAACCTGGGAGAGCGAGTGAGACATCTGTTGCGACGGTTTAATTACGACCGATGATGATGACGACACTGCAGAACTGTGCACGAATTGGGGCATTGTGAATGAAGTACGAGGTGAGAGCGATTTAGAAGAATCGGATTGCGAGAACGACGAAACTTTGGAGCCAGTGCCTCGTGCAGCTCATGCCACGGGCCTCGGCGAACGAGCACCTTGCCGTTTTAAATTAACTTGAGACCGCCCTTATCGCTTCAGCTCTTCGAAACACGTGCATCACAGACTTTCTGGGGCAAAAAAAGTTTTTTCAGAAAAACCATTTTTTACAATTTTTGCCTGTTTTGATAAGATTAGTACCTCTACTGTTGTGAAAAAAAAATCCGTGCATGCGTCTGTTCGTGAGTCCGCACGTTCATCTGTGCGTCCGTCCCTGCTTTCGTCCATGCATCCGCCCCTGCGTCCGTCCATGCGTCCATTCGTCCGTGCAGCCACCCATGCGTCCGTCCATGCATTTGTCTGTGTGTCTGTTAGTCCACATATCACACTGGAAGTGCCACCATCTCGCATCTTTTCATCATATATTCCTCATATAGAAGCACCGCCATCCAGCGGACATTCCAAGGACTGAACGAGAGGAGGCACACGCACACTTTCTTACGGCTTGCGCTTCGTGTCTACTTCGCACCTT